CTGAAGGACCTGCTGCACCATGTGTGACTGAGTCAAAGTGATGGTGCGACGTGCTCTGTCTCGGGTGATCTGCAAGCCAAGGTAGCTGCGCAGCTCACCCAAGTCTGTGCACGTGTGTCTCTTCTGCAGCTCCGACTTCACGTGGGCGAGAGCCTCAGTGTCAGCAGTGGCAAAAACCAAGTCGTCGACGTACACGAGGATGTAGAACGGCGGCAGGGAAGTGTCGGTGCGCAGAAACAGCGACGGGTCAGCAGTAGAAGGCGCAAACCCAAGAGCCGCAAGCGTAGTCCTCAGTGTGTCGTGCCACTCACGTGGCGCCTGGCGGAGACCGTAGACCGGCCGCCGGAGGCTCCATTGGGTACCAGGAGGGAACGACCCAGTGAAGCCCGGGGGGCGGTGCAGCCAGATCTCCTCGTGCAGGCTACCCTGCAAGAAAGCTGTGCTGAAGTCAAGAGAGTGAAGCTCGTAGTCACGGTGAGCAGCAACGTGCAGCAGCACCCGAAGAGTGGTCATCTTCGGGGTGGGGGAGAAGGTCTGGAAGAAGTCAACTCCCTCTCGCTGACTGAAGCCTCGAGCCACGTAACGCGCCTTGAAGACAGGCGGAGAACCCGGCGGCCGCTTCACCCTGAAAATCCACATGCCACTGACGATGTTCGCCCCAGGTGGGGGAACCTCGTCAACGTAGGTGCCTGTGGACTTCCAGGAAGCCATCTCTGCGTCCATGGCTGCCTGCCACTGAGAGGAGTAGGGACCCTCTATTGCCTCTGCGTAAGAGCGCGGAGTCGGGATGTCTGGTGCATCCGGGTCTCCCTCAGGGGCAAGTAGCGAGGACACAAGATGAGGTAAAGCAGCAGCAAGACACTGGAACTCCTCCTGCCTGTCCTCAAGGACGTCCGTGCTAAGAGCACACTCACCCCCGACGGACGGAGGACAGACAGACTCAGACTCAGCAACAAGACTAGCGACGTAGTCTAGACGACAGGCAGCAGCAAAGTCAACAAGCTCAGCGACCAAGGCAGACGCAGCAGTAGACTCAAACGACGGGTCAGTGACAACAGTGGCTAGGAGACGCGTGACAGTAGGGTGCTCAGTACGAAACCGGTCAGACTCAGGGTCCGGAACGGCAGGCAGAGAGGACGCAGGGGGAGACGGCAGAGGAACAGGCTGCGGAGCAGAGGAAGGACGACGGACAACAAGGTGTGCGCTGGGGACAGCCGGCTGACGCGCACGAGCGACACAAGGGATCAAAACATCAGGGACGTCCCCCTTGCTCTGCAAGGGGAAGACCGTGGTGTAACGCGTGTAGTCGTCGACGACCAGCAGGAAGTACCGCTCGCGGCCCTGTCCCTGGATGCGGGCTGGGCCCCACACGTCCAGGTGGAGCATCTGCAGTGGAGCCTCTGTGGGAGGAAACGAGGAGGAGTGAGGAGCGGCGCGTTGCCGCCCCTCGACGCAAGGAATGCAGGGCGGCGCAGGCGAGGGAGGGAGGGCAGGCAGAGACCTGGGAAGACCAGAGACCAGGGAGCGAGAGTGCATGCTACGCAGGCGAGGCAAGGAGGGGTGACCAAGGCGGTGGTGCCACAGGAGAGTGTCGTGCGACAAAGCGCGACACTCGCAGGGGGCCGCCAGCTGACCAGACACAGACGCAGACGCAGCTACCTGAGGGGACTCAGTGGTGAGTGTGTACAGACTCGAGCCAGGCGCACGGGTAAACGTGGCCAGGTGTCGGCCCGTCCGAGCACACGTACAGCGGGTCACTCGCTGACTCGCAGGAGTGAACTGGTGAACCCCTCCATCCTGGAGGTCAGCTCCCGCCACCAAGTTCGTAGAGAACGAGGGGAGGTAAAGACCTGACAGGAAGCCAGACGGGACGGCCGGACACGGCAGAACCGTGGAGTAGTGGGCAAGGACTGGGCCCCCGGAGGGGTCCGCCAGGGAGACTGGAACTGGCCGACTGAGCGGCGTGAGTGTGGTGCAGTCGCGAAAGAAGGAGCGGGAAGCTCCTGAGTCAAGGGTGAAGGTGTGCGAGACCGCAGAGGGCGCAGTACCAGAGAGAGCAGACTCACCAGCACCTGAAGCCACGGCCTCACCAGCACCTAGAGCAGAAGACGTACTAGCACCGAGAGCAGCAGCCTCACCAGCATTTAGAGCAGGAGACGCACTAGCACCTAGAGCAGCAGCCTCACCAGCACCAAGAGCAGCAGGCTCTATACCAGGGTCAGGCGGTACGCACAGGTAACAGGCACGGTCAGCACTAGTAGGCAATGCATACATGGCAGTGAGAATAGCATCATAGTCAAGCGCAAAGATATCTACCCTCTGTCCATGCAGCTCCAGCCAGGTGGGGAGCTCAGCCTCGTCGCCAAACACTGTGCGCCAGTCGTCGCTCAGACGGGCGAAGCAGCGGGACTGTGTGTGACCAAGCGTCCCACAAGGCTGACCAGTCCTAGCACCTGTGCGAATGACGTACGGGCAGCGAACTGTACGCGTAGACCTGCTACACTGAGCATACCACTCCTGGAGCTGCCGGGGCGTAAGTGTCTCACGTGGACGCCCCTGCAGCTGCAGCTGGCCACTGCCAGACGCTCCCAACTGACCAGCTCCAGGGCGACAGCTACGACGGCTACTGCGACAACCCCAGCTAGTATACCACTCACTAAGCTGCTGGGGCGTGAGAGGCTCGCGTGAACGTCGCTGGAGCTGCATCTGGCCACCTGCCAGTAGCAGTAGCAGCAGCAGTAGCGCGGGCAGGGCAGGCGCGGCAGGCAGGCAGGCAAGCAGGCAGGCAGGCAGGCAGGCAGGCAGGCCGGCAGGCAGGCAGGCAGCCAGGCAGGCAGGCAGGCAGGCAGACAGGCAGGCAGGCAGGCAGACAGGCAGGCAGGCAGGCAGGCGGGCAGACAGACAGGCAGGCCGGCAGGCAGGCAGGCAGGCCGGCAGGCAGGCAGCCAGGCAGGCAGACAGGCAGGCCGTCAGGCAGGCAGGCAGGCGCTCACCAAAGGCTGGGAGAGCAGGCGATCACCGGGCGAGCAGGGCCGGCGCTCGACGGCGGCGGCCGAGTAGGCGCACGACAGCGGCGGCGTCGGGGCCGCAACACCGGCTGCAGAGTAGGGCCGAAGCAGCTGCAGGGCGGGGCCGCTTCAGTGGCAGTAGCAGGGTGGGGCCGCGTCAGCGGTAGGTCGGGGCCGTGGAAGCTGCAGGGCGGGGCCGCATCAGCGGCAGGTCGGGGCCGTGGTAGCTGCAGGGCGGGGCCGCATCAGCGGCAGGTCGGGGCCGTGGCAGCTGCAGGGCGGGGCCGCATCAGCGGCAGGTCGGGGCCGAGGCAGAGGGCCGCGCGCGGCTCGGCGCGGGCTGCGCTGACAGCGCGCTGAGCTGCTGCAGGCCGCGCGCGGCCGCGCTAGGCAGTAGCGGGCCGCGCGCGGCTCGGCGCGGGCTGTTGCGGGCCGCGCGCGGGCCGCGCGAGGCAGTAGCAGGCCGCGCGCGGCTCGGCGCGGGCTGCTGCGGGCCGCGCGCGGGCCTCGCGAGGCCGTAGCAGGCCGCGCGCGGCTCGACGCGGGCTGCGTGGGCTCGGCGCGGGCTGCGTGCGGCTGCGGGCTGCGCGCGGCTGCAGCGGGCTGCGCGCGGCTCGGTGCGGGCTGCGCGCGGCTGCAGCGGGCTGCGCGCGGCTCGGCGCGGGCTGCGTGGGCTCGGTGCAGGCTGCGCGCGGCTGCAGCGGGCTGCGCGGGCCTGACGGGCGTGTAGAGGGGGCGCGCGGGCCTTACGGGCCTCTAGGGGCGGCGCGCGGGCCTTACGGGCCTCTAGGGGCGGCGCGTGGGCCTTACGGGCCTCTAGGGGCAGCGCGCTGGCCTAAGGCAGCAGGAGGCAGCGCTAGGGCTGCTGGACGGCGCGCATAGTGCAGCACGTCACAAGGCAAGGCAAGGCAGGCAGGTACGTGGGGTAGCGCGGTAACCGCAGCGGTAGGTGGGCCCGAAAAAAAAAATGGTCCTACGGACCTTAGTGCTCTGAAACCATGTCAGAATCTAGCAGCAGGAATGGATGAACTAACAGGATGCAGGAGTACAAGTAGTAAACCCTAATTGGGTTGTACCCCATATGGGCTACCCCACTACAGCCTAAACAATATGCAGCACATATAGTTTGACAGAGACTCCAAGGGGAACAAGATTGGGGGGGATCATACCTTCGGCTTCATTTCCATCCTCGTTTATATGAGGTTTGCTTGTGACTTTTGAGACGACTCAAAAGATTGGGGAGGATCATGCCTTTCGCTTCATTTCTATATTCGTTTATATGAGGTGCGCTTGTCTTTTCCTTTGCTACTTCATGCGTCCTCATGGTTATGATGTGCACCTTGCTCCTTACTCCTTACTGAAAATCTTACACCTGTTTGCATAGCAATTCATGTCTCCTCCCTCCCGCGGAGATGATGGAGATCTCGACAATTACTACGGAGGCTTTGTGAAGCTCAAAGACCCTTGATTGAAAGCGCACGTGATCTCTTCCTTCCCTATTATTCCCCTCTTTCCTCCCTCCCACAGAGACGATGGTGATCTCGACGCCTACTACGGCGGCTTTGTTAAACTCAAGGAGCCTGAAATCCCCATTGCAGCGGTTATCAACTCAAGCTATGAGGATGAAGATGGCTCCACTGTGATCGATTTCGGGCGCGCAGGTTACCTAGTTAAACGCGTCCCGGTCCCAAAGCTTCGGAATCGTCTCGTGGTTTTCGAAATCCTCCGCGCCTCTCAGGTTCAACTATGTGTTTTGCGGGTCGTGGATCGCGATGAGTGGCCTGACCGCTGCTGATGGGACGCCCATGAATGATGCGATCAACAACCTCGCGGCAAAAACTCACGCACACTATGGCCTAGTGGCGAATTCTGCCTATGCCAGCGGGGCCATTCGCGGCCAATGCGGGCTCGACAAATGAGGGTAGGCTCGTATGGGCTCAGCGAGTTGACTTCTGAGTTGACGAGTTGACTTCTGAGTTAACTCCGTGGCGAATGCCAACTTCGCCAGCGGGGCCATTCGAGGCCAATGCGAGCTCGTCAAATAAGGGTAGGCTTGTAACGGCTCAAAGGTGACAGGGTAACTGTGTGGGATGGGGATCGGCCAATGACAGCGGGTGTCAGTCACCTCTGGTGGAATATTGCAACGTCTAAGTGAATCTGCAGGTGCAACGGCTAGTTGCCATGGGCTGTAGAGAGGTGGTTCATGGAAGGAGGGGGGTAAGTCTGGAGTGGGGGGGACCGCCATGCGATAAACACCATAGCGCAGTAAACTCGGGTATATTATGGCTCAGTAGCAAATTCTAACTACCCCAGCAGGAAAATTCATGGCCAATGCGGCATTGACAGATTAGGGTAGGCTCGCAACAGGTCAAAGGTGACAGTGTAACTGTTTGGGTTGGGGTTGACAAATGACTAAGAGACGGTCAGCTCTGGTGGAATTTGTAACGACTGGTTGGATTGGAAAGTGCAACGGCTATATGCTAGGTTTGTAGAGGGATGGTTGATGGGAGGAAGGGGTAAGGGTTGGATAGCAGGGATCGTCATAGGCTGATGAACTATAGTGACTGGGTTGTGCAGAGCGCTTTCTCTTAACAGCTTTTACGTCTTGTGGATAGTAACAGTGGGGGAACTGGAGCTGCTTGCACAATGGATTTGCGAAGCCAGAGCAGGGTCTGTGTAGACGAATATAGTCGGAACGTAGTTGGTTTGTTTTGTAGTGCATTTGGTGCAGATGTTATTACAACCTAGCTCGCGCCGCACACTCAGGCTCTTCTCAAACTTGCTGCGGTTAAGGCTCGTGTCACGATCGTACCGTTTTAGGCACGGGCCGTTCACGCGAATACCGTACTGCTTCGCGTGACGCACGCAGCCGTTAGTCGCATATGTTCCCCCTCGTCGGCCGCTCTTTCCCACGTCAGACCGCTTTCCTCGTCGCCCGCCTTTCCCTCATCACCCTCGCCGACCCTCTGGTCGCATATGTTTCCCTAGTCGCCCGCGCTTTCCCACGTCAACCACACATCCCATCGTTGCAATCACAAATAGAAAACATACCGCGTTTCAGATCGTCCACCCACGCTCCCCTCATCACCCTCGTCGACCCGCACCGATCCTCGCCGCCCTCACCTCCCTTAGTCACCCACATTCCCTCACATCGCTCACGCTTCCCCCAATCACCCTTGCCGATCGTCGCCTCCCCTCGTCGCTCGCACGTCCCGTCGTCGCCCTTGCCTCCCAGTCACTCGCGCTTCCCCTCGTCATCAGCGTTTCCATCCGCTCTTCCCCTCTCCCCATCTCACCAACTCCAAAGGGGGAGGAACAGAGGTGGTCGCCAACGCCAATCGAACAGCGTTTCGAAGCCTTCTCTGCTCCCCACCGTCCTCCCCCAAGGTCTCTCTCCGGAATCTGCCCCCGTTCCCCCCATCCTCTTCCCTGCTTCACCGCATCCCCTCCCCTGCTTCACCGAATCCCCTCCCCTGCTTCCCCCCATCCTGTCCCCTGCTTCCCCCCATCCCCTTCCCTGCTTCCCCCCATCCCCTTCCCTGCTTCCCCCCATCCCCTTCCCTGCCTCTCCCCATCCCATTCCCTGCCTCTCCCCATCCCCTTCCCTGCTTCCCCCCATCCCCTTCCCTGCCTCTCCCCATCCCATTCCCTGCCTCTCCCCATCCCCTTCCCTGCCTCCCCCCATCCCCTTCCCTGCCTCTTCCCATCCCCTTCCCTGCTTCCCCCCATCCCCTTCCCTGCTTCCCCCCATCCCCTTCCCTGCTTCCCTCCATTCCCTTCCCTGCTTCCCAGGTGTGGCGGACGGTGCACGTGGTGCGGAGCATGTTGGTGCTGGGGTACGACGTGGTATTCATTGATCGTGCGATTCTCTGGGGTGCCAACTCGCGCATTGTCGTTTCCAACGGCGATCTCTACACGGTGCGCAGCAACACGCACGCGCATGCTCAAGTTCTTGGATGACTGGATCCCCTAGCACAAGTGATGAGCGTCTCTCTCTCTCTCACTTCGCCGCAATTCTGCCCCCCCTTATGCCTGCCGCCTGCTGTCCACGCCTTCCATCCCACCTCTCCCTTTCCCCTTCTGTTTCTATATGTGCCCAATCCCTTTCGCTCTTCCACTCACTCTACTCTCTCCCCATTCCCTCCCCCTTAGCTCCCCCTCTTCCTCGCGGCAGCCCACCGAAGCACCGCATCCAGCAGATCTTCGACTGGATCTGCCCTGAGGCGAGCTGGCGGAGCTGTGAGGCAGCCTCCTCTCGAGACTGCCTTCAGCCTTCCCTGCTGCCCCATACCCTCTGCTGACCTGCGCCCTATGAAGCCCTGCACTCTCTCTGTTCCCCCGCCCCTGCATGTACGGAGGGATTGGGAGCCGCTCCGCCTGGCAGCCAGCACTGTGCAGGCAAGGAGTTGAAGGTGGATCATGGGGCAAGGCTGGTCTGCGCTGCGGTGGGCCAGGGGACTGCAGATTGGTGCAGGGAAAGGCACGGTTTGTCGCTATGGCCGGCCGAGACCCTTATGAGTTGCAGGATCTGAGCTTAAGAGTGTATGTTTGGAAATGTATTGCTAATGTGCTTCTTGATATGTCATTTTTATGATTCACATTTTGCTTTCGATGCTTTTCTGCGCCAATCCAGCACTTGAAATGTTTTGTTATAATGAAGTGAAGTCTCAAAATTATCCAGACATTTTAGTTGAGTAGAAATTGTAGAAAATAGTGTTCAGTACACTGCCTCCCTCTTACTCGCGTGGGTTTCACGTTGCCCACCATTTTGTTGAGTGCCCCACCAGTGGGATGGTGGCACCAAGAGAAGCGCTGAGTGCCCCACCAATGGTGGGGTGGGAGAAGTGCTGTGTCGCACACTGGGTCGTTCGGCACTCCCATATCCTCGGAGACAGCTGTCGCATAATATCGTGGCGAAGGCTGTTTTATCCGCCTCCCTGAATTCGCTTTCGCCCCACACAAATTTTCGAAATTCACGATTTTCAGGGTTTTGCCAGACTGTTTCAACCCCACATAACTTGAAAAAGTACCATGCTGACCTTGGGCTTTAAAGCAACGGTATACTTTTGAAAGTTGGGTTTTCAAAATCCTAAGGAATTTGAAAATGGCTACCAAATAACAAGCCCACAAGCTCGTTCCGACCCCCCTCACAAGCGCTACTCGCTCATATTCAAATCCTAAGGATTTGCATAAGGAGACAGATTGATGGGAAGGAGGTTTTGCCCTGCACCTGCCTAGGAAAGAGGTACTTACATCGTAAGTAGGCCTCGCCACGTACCTGATTTTAGACGCGCGCTTCTCCTAGTTAAAGATAAAGCGTAAGCCTACTTCGCGCGCGCTCGAACAGACAGAATTCGCTCTTCGCTCGGTCTCGCTTCGCGACGGAACAAGGTCACACTCATCGTGTTCCACTCGCGGCCTCTTCGAGTCGTCGCACAGATGTGAGAGGGTGTACGCTCCTTCGCATCCTCCAGCTTATTTTGCGGTGGGAAGGGGGAAGCAAGGCCCTACTCGCATCTCACCATCCCTCTGCCCGAACTCCGCTTCCGCCATCCCATCTTCCCTGCTCGCCACCCGCGCTCTTTCGCAACCTCTAGCCTTAACCGCGCCTGCTCCTCTCGCCTCGCAGTTCGCGTTCTCCTCTCGCCTCTCCACGCGGCCTCCTCTCGCCTCCCCGCGCGCGCTCCTCTCGCCTCCCCGCGCGTGCTCCTCTCGCCTCCCTGCGCGTGCTCCTCTCGCCTCCCCGCGCGTGCTCCTCTCGCCTCCCCGCGCGTGCTCCTCTCACCTCCCCGCGCGTGCTCCTCTCGCCTCACCGCGCGCTCCTCTCGCCTCCCCTCGCGGCCTCCTCTAGCCTCCCCGCGTGGCCGCCTCTCGCCTCCCCGCGCGCACTCGCTCTCACCTACCCGCGCGGCCTCCTCTCGCCTCCCCGCGCGTGCTCCTCTTGCCTCCCCGCGCGGCCTCCTTCCGCCTTCCCGCGCATGCTCCTCTCGCCTTTCGTCGCGTGCTCCTCTCGCCTCCCCGCGCGTGCTCCTCTAGCCTGCGTGAGGGGCTTCACCTTGCCTCCCCTTGCTGCCTCTCCGCGTCTCGCAACGACCTCCTTTCGCGAGCCGCACTCGGATATTGCACTTGGCTCCCGCTCCCACTCTTGCAACGACTGTGCTTCCGCACGCCCTCAAGAACCCCCCTCGCACGCCCTCACTTTCCCACCTGTACGCCCTCGTTTCCCCCTCTTCCACGCCCTCGTTTCCCCCTCTTCCACGCCCTCGTTTCCCCCTCTTCCACGCCCTCATTTCCCTCCCTGCTTGCCCTCATTTCCCCACCTTTCACGCCCTCCTTTTCCCCCTTTCACGCCCTCCTTTTCCCCCTTTCACGCCCTCCTTTACCCCCTTGCACGCCCTCCTTTACCCCCTTGCACGCCCTCCTTTACCCCCTTGCACGCCCCCCATTCTCTCCCTTCCCTCCATTCTCTCTTTATCTCCCCCTCTCTTCTCTCCCTTCCCTCCCTTCCCTCCCTTCCCTACCTTCCCTCCCTTCCCTTCCCTTCCATCCTTCCTTCCTTCCCTTCCTTCCCTTCCCTCCCTTCCCTCCCTTCCCTAGCTTCTCTCCCTTCCCTCCCCGCTCTCCCTTTTCTCCCTTCTCTCCATTCCCTCCCTTCTCTCCCTTCCCGCCCTTCTCTCCCTTCCCTAGCTTCTCTCCCTTCCCTCCCTTCTCTCCCTTCCCTCCCTTTCCTCCTTTCCCTCCCTTCTCTCCCTTCCCTCCCTTCTCTCCCTTCCCTCCCTTCTCTCCCTCATCTCCCTTCCTTCCTTTCTCTCCCTTCCCTCCTTTTTCTCCCTTCCCTCCTTTCTCTCCCTTCCCTCCTTTCTCTCCCTTTTCTCCCACCTCTTCATCCTCACCCCTCCACCCCGCCTCCCCATCTCCTCGTCTCGCCTCCCCATCTCCTCGTCTCGCCTCCCCATCTCCTCGTCTCGCCTCCCCATCTCCTCGTCTCGCCTCCCCATCTCCTCGTCTCGCCTCCCCATCTCCTCGTCTCGCCTCCCCATCTCCTCGTCTCGCCTCCCCATCTCCTCGTCTCGCCTCCCCATCTCCTCGTCCCGCCTCCCCATCTCCTCGTCCCGCCTCCCCATCTCCTTGTCCCGCCCCCCCATGAGAGCTGCCTCCCTTCTCAGCTCGCATACCTCCTTTCCTTTCATCCTCGGTGTGCAAGTCATGCCTCCTCATCTCATCTCCCCTTAAGGCCTCCCACCACCATTCCCTGCCTTCCCATCTCCCCTTTCCTGCATCCCCATTTCCCCTCCCTGCCTCCCCGCGTCCTCTCGCTCACTAATCGCTGCAGTCGCCTGTGAGCCTCTGTACCTCCCCCTCTTTGTGCCTCTCCCAGCTCCCTTCTCCCATCCTTTTCGCCCACTGTACTCATTCCATGACCTCACACATGCCTTCATCCTTTCTCCCCTTCTTTCCCCTCCTTCTCCCCTCCTTTGTCACCGGGCCACGCTTTGACCTGCTTGTAGCTGCAGCCATCCCCTCTCCTTCCTCCAAATCACCCCATCCCTCTCCGTCGCACTCTTCCACCGCCATCCCTCCCTTCTTTCTTCCTGTAATCAACCCCCCCTTCTTCCCCGTTGTTTCCATCATTTTGCCACCATACATTGATTCTAAATCGTGTACTCGCTTGTATTCCGTTTTTCCCCTCCCTCCCTTCCTATCTCCCCTCACTTACTACCCATCTCACCTCCTTGTCTTCCCATCTCTCCTCCCTGAGTTCCCATCGCACCTCCCTGCCTTACGTGCCACAGGTTTGGGGCCCCATTTACCATATCCCCCCGGATAGTGCGCATATGCGTTTATAATAAAATCATTTTTTTTAAGGGATGTGATTATAAATGAGGAAAGGGCATAAGCGCATGCGCTTCAGAAATGGAAAAATGAATTTTGTTTTTAAGGGCACCAAATCGAAGCTCTCATTAAGGCGAACGCGCCCGTAAAACGTTCAGGTCAGTTTCGTGTATGAAATGCAGGCGAAAACAGCAGCGACTCGATTTCCCATCGCACAAAATCCTGTCCCGGAGCAACGCATCTGCCAACGCTGACTCGGAAGCTGCCGTGCGGCCCAATCCCGTTCGCATGCGTTGCCAGGCAGGGACAGCTCATCCGATCCCTCTAAAAGGGATCGAATATGCCCTGCCACCGCAGCATGGGTGCTGCCCATTTCCCTCCTCTGCAGGTTCAGGCTGTGGGGGTACCCGTCTATTATTGACGAGGACGGCGAGCCGCTTCCCCGCAGGGGTCCCGTCCGAAGCCCATTTCTTCTCATTTCTTGCTTGCCTTGATTGAGTTTAGCATGTTTCGCCTGCCAGGCTGCAGAAGCCATGGCGGAATTCACTGGCACCCACTTCCTTTTTAAGAAGAAACCTAGGCTCGCGTACCGTGTCGACGCTGATGGCTGGTATACCCGTATCCCACCATCGCCCCCAGAGCCACCACAGCCTCCTGCGCCGCCGACGCCTCCATCTCCTCCATGTCCTCCTACACCTCCAGCTCCACCTGCTTCTCCAAGCCCCCCCGTGTTTGTAGGCCCATCGATTCCTCCTGTGCTGACGCTCCTGCACCCGTCGGCGTTCGACGAGTACTTGTCTGAACCTGACAGCAGCAAGTGTCAAACATTATATGTTTATATGATTCTAGGCTGTAGTGGGTTACACCTTAGGGGGTACACTAGATTAGGGTTTCCTACTTGTATCCAACTTTGTGCTAGTACAGTCATTCCTGTCCGTTCATTCTGACATGGTTTCAGAGCAGGTCCATCACTAAGACCGTCTTAGGGCCCACCGCTACCTACCTACCTACCTACCGTGCGCCCTCGTGCGCCTACGCGCCCTCGTGCGCCTTCTACCTACCGCGCGCGCGCAGCCCGCCAGCCACCCACGCGCGGCTCGTCTTTTTTTTTTTTTTTTTTCGCGCGCGACCCGCTAGCCGCCCGCGCGCGGTCGATTTTTCGCACACGACCCACTAGCCGCCCGCGCGCGGCCGTCTCTTCGCGCGCGGCCTCGCGCGCTGCCCGCAACCTGCTCCGCGGTCGCGCGCCGCTGCAGCTCCTACTGTCGCGCCCGCTGCTGCTGCCGCCCGTCGCCAGCTGCCGCCTGTGCGCCCGCGCGCCACTGCTGCTGCCGCTGCCCGCGCGCCGCTGCCTCTGCTCTAAGCCTGCGCGCGGCTCACTGCTGCCCCTTAGCCGCCGTAGCGGTCCCTTACCCGCTCGTCGCGGCCCCTTACCTGCTCGTCGCGACCCCTCAGCCGCCCCTTCGCGGCTTCGTCGCTGCCGGACCTACAGCAGCTACCGCCGCCTAACCTGCCACAGCAGCCGCCGCTCGACCTGCAGCAGCTGTCACCGCCGAGCCTGCAGCAGCAGCCGCCGCCGGACCTGCAGCAGCTGCCGCCGCCGAGCCTACCGCAGCTGCCGCCGCCGAGCCTGCAGCAGAGGCCGCCGCCGGACCTTCAGCAGCTGCAGCCGCCGAGCCTGCAGCAGCAGCCGCCGCTCGACCTGCAGCAGCTGCTGCCACCGGACCTCCAGCAGCAGCCGCCCCCGACTCTACAGCAGCTGCCGCTGCTGAGCCTGCAGCATCTGCCGCCGTCGACCTTACAGCAGCTGCCGCCGCCGACCCTGCAGCAGCTGCCGCGGAGCTCCCTGCTGCGACCTGGCCCCGCCCCGCAGTTGCAGCGGCCCCGCTGTCACCACCGTCTTGCGCCCGCCGCGCCTACCACTGGTGAGCTTTGCCCTGCCAGCACTACTCCCGCTACTACTGCTGCTCCTGCCCTTACTACTCCCACTGCCACTGCTGTTGCTACCACTACTGCTGCTGCTCCTGACGTGGCCAGATGCAGCTCCAGCAGGCTCGTGAGTGGTACGCCAGTTTGGGCAGTCGGGGTGGCCGTAGTGGTCGTCGCTCTGGAGTGCGTCGTTCGGGAGCCTCTGTTAGTGGACAGGTGCAGCAGCCGTGCCCTCTTATGCTCCAGCAGGCTCGTGAGTGGTACGCAGGCTTGGGACGTCGGGGTGGCCGTCGTGGTAGTCGCTCTGGAGTGCGTCGTTCGGGAGCCTCTGGTCGTGGCCAGGTGCAGCAGCCGTGCCCTCTTATGCTACAGCAGGCTCGTGAGTGGTACGCCAGTTTGGGCTGTCGGAGTGACCGTAGTGGTAGTCCCTCTGGAGTGCGTCGTTCGGGAGCTACTGGTAGTGGAGAGGTGCAGCTGCCGAGTCCTGTGAGTGAGGCTGCCGCTCTAGGTGCTAGTACGTCTGTTGCCCTAGGTGCAGGTGAGGCTACCACTCCCGGTACTCACGTGTCTACCACTCCAGCTACTGATGAGCCTACTGCTCTAGGTACTAGTGCGACTGCCACTGCAGGTCCTCTCGTGTCTGCCACCTCAGGTGATGGTGCGCCTGTCGCTCTAGGTGCTAGCGAGTCTGTCTCCCCTGGTACTGAGTCGACTGAGGCACTGCACACCTTCACCCTGGACTCAGGTGCTTCTCGCTGTTTCTTTCGTGACCGCACTGTCCTTGAGCCACTCGCTCGGCCAGTTGCTGTCTCCCTCGCTGACCCCTCTGGGGGTCCGGTCATTGCGACCTCCTCCACTGTCCTTCCTTGTCCTGCGGTCCCGTCAGGCACACTGTCAGGTCTCTACCTCCCCTTGTTCTCTACGAACTTGGTGGCAGGTAGTGCGCTCCAGGACGGGGGTGTTCACCAGTTCACCCCTGCTTACGAGCGCGTGACACACTGCACGTGTGCTCGGACGGGCCGTCACCTGGCTACCTTCACTCGGCAGCCGGGGTCGGACCTGTACACACTGACCACTGCGTCCCCTCAGGTAGCTGCGTCCGCGTCTGCGTCTGCGTCAGGTCAGCTGTCCGCCCCCTGCTCGTGTCGCTCTCTAGCGCATGAGACTGTCCTCTGGCACCACCGCCTTGGTCACCCGTCTGTGCAGCGCCTTCGGGCCATGCACAAACGGGACCTTGTTGCTGGTCTTCCCAGGGTTCTACCTCCCCTCCCACCCTCGCCTGCTCCTCCATGTCTTCCCTGTGTCGAGGGGCGGCAGCGCGCCGCTCCTCACTCCTCCTCCTTCCCCCCGACGACTGCTCCTTTGCAGACGCTCCACATGGACGTGTGGGGCCCAGCCCGCGTCCGTGGTCAGGGTCAGGAGAGGTACTTCCTGATTGTTGTTGACGACTTCTCGCGCTACACCACGGTCTTCCCCTTGCGCACCAAGGGTGACGTCCCTGATGTCTTGATCCCTTGGATCAGCAGAGCTCGTCTCCAGCTCAGTGAGCGCTTCCGCTCCGACTTCCCTGTCCTGCGTCTGCACTCTGACAGAGGTGGGGAGTTTTCCTCTGGCCTCTTGGAGGCCTTCTGTCAGCAGGAGGGCATTGAGCAGTCGTTCACGCTTCCGGCCTCTCCACAGCAGAATGGGGTTGCTGAGCGCCGCATTGGCTTGGTCATGGAGGTCGCTCGTACCTCCTTGGTTCATGCGGCTGCCCCCCACTTTCTGTGGCCGTTTGCAGTCCGATACGCTGCGCATCAGCTCAACCTCTGGCCCCGTGTCTCCTTACCGGAGACTTCTCCGACACTGCGTTGGACGGGAGAGGCTGGCGATGCGTCGCGTTTTCGGGTCTGGGGATCTCGAGCTTTTGTTCGCGATACGTCCGCGGACAAGCTCTCCCGTCGAGCTGTCCCCTGTGTCTTCCTTGGCTTTGTCCCGGACGCGCCTGGTTGGCAGTTCTACCACGCCACCTCGCGTCGTGTCCTGGCCTCTCAGGACGTCACTTTTGACGAGTCCGTCCCCTACTACCGCCTCTTCCCCTACCGCACTGCCCCGCTCCCCCCCCCGCCTCTCTTCCTCGCTCCAGGTGCTGAGGTACCAGACCCCCTCCCCCCTCAGGGTGCCGCTCCCTCAGGTGTGTCCCAGGTAGACCCGGTTGAGCCTGTCGAGGTAGCTGTTGACTCTCGTCCTGCTGGGGGTGCTGAGCCTGACCGTGAGGAGCCTGGGAGTGCTGAGCCTGGGGGTGCGGAGCCTGGGGGTGCGGAGCCTGGGGGTGCGGAGCCTGGAGGTACTGAGCCTGGGGGTGCGGAGTCTGGAGGTGCTGAGCCTGGAGTTGCTGCGTCTGGGGGTGCTGCGTCTGGGGGTGCTGAGCCTGGGGGTGCTGAGACTGAGCGTGCTACACCTGGAGGAGCCCTCTCCTCCCAGCAGCTGCAGGAGAGGTACCTACAGTACTGCCGCCTCCGGAGAGGTGCTGCTGGAGCTCGTACCAGTACTTCCCCTCCTGCCCAGGAGCTCCCCCCCATTCAGCAGATCCGAGAGTGGT